CTTTAAATGTCTTTGTCAATTACAAATGCTTTCCCTTAATAAAGTTCCCTAAATATTTTTCTTTTTCATACCACTGGAAATTTCCCATACATAAATCCTCCTCTTTAGCAGTTCTGTATGTTTTCCCTTACGAAAGTTCCCTTTAAAAAATCGCTTTTCCATACCATTACCAATTTCTCACGCACAAATTCTCCTTTCTGAATGTTATTATTAGTAAATCCTAATGTTTTGCTATAATAGAGCTTCCTAAACCTTTCGCTTTATACACCATTGAGAATTTCTCACGCCCCTGCCTTGTCCTCTCTCCGCCAGAGGGCTGCGAGACCTCCGCCGACTGCTCGGCCGATGCAACTTGCAACGAGACTCCGGAGGGCAAGAGGTGTGAGTGCCAGCCAGGATTTTCCGGCGATGGATACATCTGCAACGACCAACAGCTGTCTCCATACCAACCCGAGGTACCCTACCAGCCGTACCAACCTCAAGACCCGTACCAACCTCAAGACCCGTACCAACCTCAAGACCCGTACCAACCCCTCGATCCATATGCGCAGGGTGAACATAAGCAGCCGTACCAACCTTACCAGCCGGAGCAGCCGTACCAACCCTACCAGCCTGAACGTCCGTACCAACCTTACCAACCGGAGCAACCATACCAACCACAGGAACCACAACAACCATTAGATGCTGGAGAGGTAAATGGGCATCTCATCTTATAATTTCCTGTGACCAGTAAAGTTCATGAAAAAAAAAAAAACATAATTCAAAACAGTTATAACTCACGTAAAGCATAATTCATGACCCAGCATAGTTCAGACAAGCATGGTACATAACACTAACTAAATACTAATAACTAATAACTAATAACTAATCCCTAACATCTCATAACTAATCTATCAACTCCTCCCCCCCTCGCAGACTCCCGAGCCCGAGTGCCTCTTTGGTGTGTGTTGGTGCCCGGATACCTACCAATACGACAAAGACAGGAACTTGTGCGTTGCTGGGGACACCTCGGTATCTCAGTCCGGTAAGTCAAGATGATGATGGTAGTGGAAGAGATGATGGTGGTAGTGGAAGAGATGATGGTGGTAGTGGAAGAGATGATGATGGTAGTGGAAGAGATGATGGTGGTAGTGGAAGAGATGATGATGGTAGTGGAAGAGATGATGATGGTAGTGGAAGAGATGATGATGGTAGTGGAAGAGATGATGATGGAGATAGTGGTGGAGATAGTGGTGGTGATGATGGTGGAGATGATGGTGATGATGGTGGGGATATTAGTGGAGGTGGAGATGGAGATGATGACGATGGGGATGGTGGTGGGGATGATGTTGGAGATGCGGTGGAGATGGTGATGATGATGGAGATGGTGGAGATGGTGGAGGTGGTGGTGATGATGACACGGGTGGTTCGTTGTGGTTACGACCAGAATGAGCATCAAAATAATATTAACGATGGTTACCATAATGATAATGTTTTTTATAATAAATTTTAGAATGAGCATAATGATGGTTATGATAATTATATACAGGTTATGATGATGACGATGATTGTAACGGGAATGAGGAATGGAATAATATTAATGATGATTATGGTGATGGTAAAGGTGCATTAGCATGATATTGATAAGAATATAGATTTTTTTTTTTGCAACTGTGATGATGCAAGGGGAAATAAACTAAATAAATTAAGGAAAATAAAATTTGGGAGATGCATGAGAGAAAAAAAATATAATAGCTCTTGGGAACATAATAGCATGGGAAAAGTAGCATGGTATTAGATAGTGAAAAGTCGTTCATGGTAAGTTTAAGGAAAAAACAAACAAACAATATCTGATTTTCCTTTTCTCATATCCATTTTCCTAATTGTTATTCTTTCTTCCTCCCTCATTTTCCTTCCTATTTTCCCTTCTCAATTCCTTTACTCCCCCCATCCAATACCCCCAATTCATACCCTTATTCCTTTCCTATTCTCCGATCCGTTCCTCTACCCTCCCCCCCCCTACCCCAACCTTTCCCTCCCCACTTTCCCCAACCTCTCCCTCCACCTTTCGTTCCCCAACCTCCCCCTTTTCCCTCATCCCCTTTCCTTCCCCAACCCCTTCCGCTCACCCCTTTCCTTCCCCACCTTCTTCCCCTCATCCTCTTTCCTTCCCCAACCTCCCTCCTCCCCCTTAACCAACCCCTTCCCCCAACCTCTCCCTCACCATTTCCCCTACCTGTCCCCCTACCCTTTCCCCAACCCCTCCCTCCCCTCTTTTCTAACCCCCCCACCCTCTCCCAACCCCTTTCCCTCTCAAACCTCCCCCCTCCCCCCCCCTATCCCTCCCCAACCTCCCCCTTCCAACCCCTTTCCCTCCCCAACCTCCCCCCCTTCCAACCCCTATCCCTCCCCAACCTTCCCCCTATCCCTCCCCAACCTCCCCCCCTCCCAACCCCTTTCCCTCCCCCCCATCCTTCCCCAACCTTTCCCCTATCCCTCCCCAACCTTCCCCCTATCCCTC